TTGAACACTGGAAAGTATTCATAAAACTTGAGGTATTATAATTATTAGTCAAATAATTATTAGAACATTATAGTATTCTAATTCTGATTATCATTATTGGTCTGTCTTCATCATTAGATTGTGAACCTTGCTGTCTAGGAATCCTGTCATATTCTTGACATCCACAGAACAAGTACTTACGTGATGCTTAATAAATATATTGTACATAATACAAATTGCACTGACTTTCTTTAAAAGGTAGACTGGGAAGGGTCTGGGGTGGTCTGGGCTGACCCAGAAGCAGGCTGGTTCGGTGGCAACTCAAGCAAGACATATAGTTCATTCACTCATTCAAAAAGGTATACTGAGCATCTCATATAGACACTGCTCCAGATAAAGGGAAACAGCTGTGAACAAGAGCAATAAAGTCTAGCTAAGAAGCAGATAATGCCTAAGTAGGAAAATTACCGACTGTACCGAGCAACGAAGACAATGGAAACAGTTGAAGTGACAGAGAGTTAAGAAGTAGGGCAGAGATGCAACTACCTTGTACAGGGTGGGTGAGAGAGGTCTCCGTGGCCTGGGGGGAGAGGAGTCAGCCATGTCCCGAATAAGAAGGAGAGTCTCTCCATAAAAACCAAGGCCATGGAGCAGAAACAGGATTGGCACACAGGATGGACAGTTAGGCCAGGGGAGCTGGAGTGTAGTGGGCCAGATGAGACAAGGCTAAGAGGGGAGGTCAGAGAAATAGTCAGGAGCCACATCATTTAGGCCTTATTAGCCCGTCAGGAATTTGGATTTAATTCCATGATCAATGAGAAACCCACTGGAGGGTTTTAAGAAGAAGAATGGTATACTCACTTATCCTTAAAAATATCTCTTTGACTGCTAGTGGAGGGCGGATTGAAGAAAGGCAAGATATCAACAGGGAAACCAATTAAAAGCCTATTGCGGATAAGAGATGATGGGGGAAAATGGGGAGAATCAGATGTATCTTTGGCATATTTTTGTGGTACAGCTCCTGGAGTCTAGGTTGTCTGTTCTCTCAGGAACCTGGAATGATGGAGCATTGCTCCCACTTCCCTAATTTTGTCTAGGGCTAGAAGCTGAATGAACAAATATTTGCCTATTGAGGACCAAAATTGGAATCTTAGGGTTGGAAATGATTAACTTTCCCATTTTACAGATGACGATATAACGGCAAAGTTGAGGTAAAGTAGTTGATCAAAGTCCCACAATTTCTGACTGGCAAATCCAGCAATAGAGCACTTCTAGCCCAGGGTTCTTTCCATTGCAGAAAACAGCCCCTCCATAGCAATGTTCTTTGCCCTTGTTTTGGCCTAAACCCTGAAAGGCTGAGCCCAGAATATTAAGGGGATTTCCTGACAGTTATCTCATGGTCATGTGGTTTGGTGATTTGTGGCATGGTCAATAATATGATGGGGACTTATCCTTGTTTTTAGTACAAATGTCATCCATAAATAAAAACATTTTGCTTCTTTTTTTTCCCCCTAAACTTTATGGCTTTCATTTCGTTTCCCACCCCCGCCCCTTTGTTGCCCTGGCTAAGATATTCAGGACAATGTTGTGAAATGGTGAAAACAGACATTCTTGTCTTGTTCCTGAACTTAGTGAGGTGAGGGAGCTTAGTTGTAGGTTATTCATAAATGCCCTTTATAGTTATGAATGTTTCCTTAATTCCTAGTTTACTAAAACTGTTGGTTGTTTTTTTCTTCCATGAATGGTTGTTGAATTTTAAGTTCTCTTTGACATATAATGAAATGATCATGTCACTGTTCTTCTGTATTTTGTAAATGTGGTGAATTGCATTGATTTTCAGATATTAAACCCATATGGCACTCTGGAATATAATCTAGTTGGTCACAAATATAGTATCATTTTTATATATTGTTGGATTTGATTTGCTTATATTTTGTTAAATATTTCTGTCTATATTCATGAGAGATAATAGTTATAATTTTCTTTTCCTATAGTGTCTTTGGCTATTATCAGGGTTATGCTAGCCTCATAAAGTAAATAGGGAAATGTTTCCTTTTTCTCTATTTTCTGAAAGAATTTATGTAAGTTGCTATTATTTCTTTTGGGTAGAATTCACCAGTGAGACCATCTCTGGAGTTTTCTTTGGGGAAAGTTTTTAATTCCTCTCCCATAGGTAAAGGATATAGGATTATTTGGATTTTCTGTTTTGTCTTATATCAGTGTCTAGGACACAAATTGTATTTCAAGTAAATTGTCAAATTTATTGTCATAAAGTTACTCATAATAATCTTGTATTGTCCTTTTTTTTTTAAAAGATTTTATTTATTCATAAGAGACAGAGAGAGAGGCAGAGGAAGAAGCAGGCTCCCCGCTGAGCAGGGAGCCCAATGCGGGACTCAATCCCAGGAGTCTGGGATCATGACCTGAGCCGAAGGCAGACACTTAATGACTGAGCCACCCAGGCACCCTTGTTCTTTTTTTTTTTTAATTTCATTTATCTAAGGGGGGGTGGTGGGCAGAGGGAGAAGGAGAAACAGATTCCCCACTGAGCAGGGAACTGACGCAGGGCTCAATCGTAGGACCCTGAGACCATGACCTGAGCTGAAGGTGGATGCTTAACCGGCTGAGCCACCCAGGCGCTCCCCTGTTCTTATCTTTATTATTGTTGTTGTTGTTTATCCCTACATATTGGCTTTATTTCCTCTTCTTTTTCTAGCTTTTTGCTTCGTTTATTAATTTATTTTATTTTATTTTTTTCAGATTTTATTTATTTATTTGATAGAGTGAGAGACAGCAAGAGCGGGAACACAGCAGGAGGAGTAGGAAAGGGAGAAGCAGGCTTCCTGCCGAGCAGGGATCCCAGTGTGGGACTCGATCCCAGGACTCTGGGATCATGAGCCAAAGGCAGACGCTTAATGACTGAGCCACCCAGGCACCCCTTATTTATTTATTTTAAAGATTTATTTATTCTAGAGTGAAAGAGAAGAAGGGAGAGTGTGGGAGGGGGAGGGGAAGAGGGAGAGGGAGAGAGAGAATCCCAGCAGACTCCCGCTGAGCACAGAGCCTTTCATGGGGCTCTATCTCATGACCTCAAGACCATGACCTGAGCTGAAATCAAGAGTCAGATGTTTAACTGACTGAGCCATCCAGGTGCCCTGCATTGTTTATTTTAAATCTTTCTTTAGCTGCATCCCACAACTGTTCAGATATGATTTTTTAAAAATTATTATTCATTTAAAGTTCAGTTGGGGGCTATTTTAGATCTTTTGCTGATGATTTATAATTTAATGCTTTTGTGGTCAGAAATATATCATATATGATTATAAACCTTTGAAAGTTATTTAAATTTGTTTTATGGCCCCATGTATGCTCTATTTTGGTGAGCATTCCCTGTGCACTTGAGAAAAGAGTATATTCTGCAGGTGTTAAGTATAATGTTCAATGAGTGTTAATTAGATTAAGTTGGTTGATAGAATTGTTTAAATCTTGGGCGCCTGGGTGGCTCAGTTGGTTAAGCGACTGCCTTCGGCTCAGGTCATGATCCTGGAGTCCCGGGATCGAGTCCCGCATCGGGCTCCCTGCTCCGCGGGAAGCCTGCTTCTCCCTTTCCCTCTCCCCCTGCTTGTGTTCCTTCTCTCACTGTCTCTATCTCTGTCAAATAAATAAATAAAATAGGGGGACGGGGGCGCCTGGGTGGCTCAGTCGGTTAAGCGACTGCCTTCGGCTCAGGTCATGATCCTGGAGTCCCGGGATCGAGTCCCGCATCGGGCTCCCTGCTCGGCGGGGAGTCTGCTTCTCCCTCTGACCCTCCTCCCTCTCATGCTCTCTGTCTCTCATTCTCTCTGTCTCAAATAAATAAATAAAATCTTTAAAAAAAAAAAAGAATTGTTTAAATCTTATATTCTCACTAATTTTTTGTCTACTTGTTCTATCAATTTCTGAGATAGGAGAGTTAACATCTGACAATAATTTTGGATTTGTCTATTTTTTCCTTTAATTCTGTTCGTTTTGGCTTCATGTATTTTGAAGCACTGTTAATAGGCACATACTCACTGAGGATTATGATTCCTTCTTAATAAAGTGACTCTTAGCATTATGAAATATTCTTTATCTCTGTTAGTATCATCTGATATTAATATCACACTCCAGTCTTCTTATGATTAGCGTCTATATATTATATATATGTAATGTCTTTTCTCATTCTTTTTTTTAAACTCATCTGTTTGTTAATGTTTAGAGCACAAATCTTTTTTTTTTTTTAAGATTTTATTTATTTATTTGAGAGAGAGAATGAGAGAGAGCACATGAGAGGGGGGAGGGTCAGAGGGAGAAGCAGACCCCCCGCCGAGCAGGGAGCCCGATGCGGGACTCGATCCCGGGACTCCAGGACCATGACCTGAGCCGAAGGCAGTCGCTTAACCGACTGAGCCACCCAGGCGCCCAAGTTTACTTTTTTAAATAAAATTACACATTTAGTTTAACTCTTCCATACAACACCCCGCAATGTAGTTCCTATCCCTCCTTTTTCCTCAAAGGTAAGAACAGCCTGAACTTATCACCCAAATGTGTGTGTATTTATATATAGAATCCATCATGTAAAGTATATCCAAAAATGATATTACTCCACACGTTATATAAAGGATATTCATTATGGATCCTCTGCAACTGATTTTTTCTTTTTTTAAGATTTTATTTGTTTTTTTTGTTTTGTTTTGTTTTAAAGATTTTATTTATTTATTTGAGAGAGAGAATGAGATAGAGAGAGAGCATGAGGGGGGGAGGGTCAGAGGGAGAAGCAGACTCCCCGCCGAGCAGGGAGCCCGATGCGGGACTCGATCCCGGGACTCCAGGATCATGACCTGAGCCGAAGGCAGTCGCTTAACCAGCTGAGCCACCCAGGCGCCCTAGAGCACAAATCTTTAGCACAGATCTTGCTTTCTTAGATCTTGCTTTCTTATTCAGTCTCACGACAGCAGTCTTTTTTTTTTTTTAAGATTTTTTTATTTATTCTTTTGAGACAGAGAGACAGAGAGAGAGAGAAGGCATGAGCAGGGGAGAGAGACAGAGGGAGAGGGAGAAGCAGATTCCCCGCTGAGCTGGAAGCCTGACACAGGGCTCAATCCCAGGACCCTGAGAACATGACCTGAGCCGAAGGAGGATGCTTAACCATCTAAGCCACCACAACAGCAGCCTTTAATTGGAGTGTTTAATCAATTTCCACTTAATGTAATTTCTAATATAGTTGAGTTTAAGTCTATCATCTTGTTATTTGGTTTCGATTTGTCTTATCAGACTTTGTTCCTTTTCTCCTCCTTCTTTTATAATAACTAGTATTCTGTAGCACAGTCTTAATCTTCTATTAACTTTTAACAAAACTGCTTGATTTTTATTTTTTCTGTTTGGTCTAGGAATTATTATTTGCATTCTTAACTTATAATTTTCTACAAATTAATATAATGTCATTTCATGTATACTGTAAGAATCTTATAAAGTGATATTTTCATATATTTTACTTCTGTGTATATTATAAGCCACATTTTTACGCAACTACTTTTAAGGAAATTATAAAATTAAGAAATAAAAATTTATATGTGTGTGTGTGCATATGTGTATATATTTATGTGTGTGTATATATGTATATATATGTTATATACATATGATGCTCTTTGCTCCTTTGTATATGCAATTTCCCTTCGGCCCAAAGGACTTCCTTCAACATTTCTTATAGTGCAAGTTTGCTAGTGGTTAATTATCTTAGCTTTTGTTTATCTAAATAAAGGCTTTATTTTGCCATCACTTTTTGAAGGAGATAGAATTCTCATTGGCAAGTTTGGTTTTTTTTCCCTCAATATTTTAAAGAGGTCATTCCATTGTCTTCTGGCTTTCATTGTTTCTCATGAGAAGTCAGCAATATTTTGATTTTTTTGTTCTTCCGTATCTGATTCTCCGGCTATTTTAAAGATTTTTCAGAGCTCCTGGCTGGCTCAGTTGGAAGAACATGTGACTCTTGATCTCAGGGTGGTGAGTTTGAACCCCACGCTGGGTGTAGAGATTACTAAAATAAATAAATAAATAAATAAATAAATAAATAAATAACTTAAAAAAAAGATTTTTCTATTTATCTTTGGCTTCAGCAATATGACTAGAACATGTCTGGGTACGATTTTGCTCGTATTTTTGCTTGAGATTCGTTTGCAAATCTGGGATCTGTGGGGTGATTTTTTTCATCAAATGTCAGGGAGAAAGTTGGTCATTGGGTCTTCAAATACTTTTTCTGATTCAATCTCTCTTTTCTTTCTTCTAGGACTCCAGTTATACCTTTGTATTGTCCCTCGGGTCCCTGGGATCTATTAATTTTTTTCAGTTTTTTTTTTTTTTTTTTACGTCCTGTGTTTCAAGTTTTCCGATATCTTCTTCTACAGTGTGTAATCTGCTCTTAAGTCAATTCTGTAAATTTTTATTTCAGATACCATAATTTTAGAATTTTCATTTGGTACCTTTTATAGTTTCCATTTCTATGCTGAGATTCTTCATCTGTTCACCTATTATGTCTAGTTTCTCCTTAAAGTTCTTACTATGTTTTGAAGTCCTTGTCTACCAATTCTAGTATCAGTGTTATCTCTGCATCTGTTCGTTTTGACTATTTTTTGCTCTTGGTTGTATTTTTCTGTTTCTTTGAATAGCTAGTGATTTTTTTTTTTTTTTTTTTTTTTTGCAGTATACTGGACATTGTGGATTTTACATTGTTGCAAGTGGATTTATTTGTCTTCCTTTAAAGAGTGTTGACTTTTGTTCTGTTAGGTGGTTAAATTAGTCACAGATTAGCTTGATCATTTGAGATTTGTTTTTAAAGTTTTGGGGGAGCGTATAGAGTAACTCTTAAGCTAGAACTGGAATAGCCAGTTCTAGTCAGAAGACTTTGCCCTTCTGAGATCTTAACTAAATGCCCAGTAAGTGCAGTGAGGTCTCTCCGTTCTGCCTTGTCAGATCTCGAATGTCTCCAAGCCCTATGCAATCTCTGGAATCATTGTTCAGCTCATATTTTCTTTCTTTTCCTTTTTCTTTTTTTTTTTTTGGTAATTCTCTGCCATGGCTCACAGACCTTTTTCTATGCAGGGGACAATTTAGTGTTCAGTGGAAGAGTCAAGGACATTTTTATGCATGTTTCTGGAGCTCTTTCTCTCTTTCTCTAAGCCTCTTTCTCTCTGGTACCTGATGCACCAATTTCAGTCACTAAACAACCCTGAATTCCAATCTTTACCCCATCAGCTCAGTGAGATCATTGTGCTTTGCCTCAGCTCTCCCTTCCTGCATCACAGTGCAGAAGGTGTTTCTAGGTAGAAAGCTGCAGGTGATTATGAAGCTGACATCCCGTGTTTTCCTTTTTTCAGGAATCACATTCCTTCTCTGATTATTGCCCAAAGTGTGAAAGCTTCTGCTTCAGTTTTATATTTGTTTAGAGCAGGAGGACTAGTCTGTTACTAATTACTCCATCATGGCTGAAGGTGGAAGTCTGTAGCACAACTGAGTGCTTCATATCCAGTTGTTCATTCCCCTCCATCTTAGATGGCTATAGTTTGACCTTTGAGAAATGAGATATCTCTGGAAAGGCACATGAATATATATAAATATATAAAAATTTAAAAAATACATATTTTTAATAGACACATAGCATGATCAAGGTGACATATGGAATTCAAAGTGTTGTTTACAAACTCTGGTTTAATGCTTTTCCTGTAAGTGTGACTGTGCAGCTTTGTGTATTTGTGTGTAAGGGAGTAAGAGTGAGAGAAAATGAATATTTAAAGGGGAAAAAGAGATCAAGTTAATAGAAAAGAAGGGAAGACATGCTGGAAGGGTCAAACTTCTATCCTTTAAAAAATTATATTCAGCATGAATTTAAAACTTAAAAAATTTTTAACTCTTCCTGTAATATTAGCTACATTTTTATGCTTTTCATGTGTCAGGCGTTATTTTAAGTGCTTCATATATTTTAATTTAATCTTCACAACAACCCTTTGTATTGTCCTCATTTTACAGATTAGGAAACTGACACATAGAAGGATGGTATAACTTGCCTAAGGTTATAATGTTAATAGGTTGGGGTTTGATTCCAGGTGGTGTGTATCCAAAACTCTACATTTTTAATCTCTACATTGCTTTCATATCAGAGAAGGATTTTGTCTCTCCCCTACTCCCTCCTTCATTCCCCTGTCCCCAGACTGAAAAACAATTCCATGTTAAGTTTTGGTGAGCTATAAACACCTCACTGGGCTTTCATGCTGGTGAGAGATGCTTGACAATGGAAGAGACAGGCATTTTTTCATACTGGACTCATAGCATCGTTCATTTCATCAGTATCACTTTCGATATTCACTTGACCTTCTAGTATGGGCAAAAGTTGATGAGTGACTCATGGAGATTTTCAGTGCCTATCTTCTTAGTCTGGACTGCTCAAGAAACCAGGTGACAATTGCAATGACCCATCTTTCCTGAGCTATAGGAAGTTGTTGCAAAAAAAAATCACTTCCCTAGATCATTAGTAATTCACATCAGGAGACTTTCAGACTAGTTCAGTTTCTAACCAGGGGGTGGTGAGATTGGGAGGGTGGGTAGGGATCCCTGATCCAGACGAGAGGCACTGTGTCTCTCTAGGATTTTGTTTCCACTTCTCTACCTGAGAGTTGATATCTCCCTGGGCTGAGTTCTTCCCGTGGTCTTTGAGATTTTTAGGAAGGAAGGAGATAGCAGATTGCAGGCTATTATTATGGCAAGATCATTTCTCTTTGGCCACCAAACAGTTGTTCCCTGAGTCATGAACCACTCTGTTCAGTGGCTGTCGAGCTAAACTGCCTTTGAAATTCAGAGGAGAAGGTCTGCGTGTGCCAAAAGCAAGCCCCTGAGTCACCTAGCACCCAGCAGGAAGACAGCAATGAATAAGGCTGAAAGTAGTGCCAGGATCCATGCCAAGCAGCTAGTGTGGACCTTCAAGTGCCCATTACACTGACATCTTTCCAGGTCATAAAATCTCATGTCCTCGCAGATAGGAGGGAGCATTGTCTATTCTCTCTGCTATTTGCGAGGTTCCTGATTAGTGAATCATCCCCCTAAATATCTTTTTACATGGATTGAGCCATGTACTAAGGAGATCATATTTTTGTCTAAGGAAACTGCATCAGACATTACAGTTTATAAACAAAATAGGTGGAGTTTGTATTTGGAAATATAATACCGTATTTACTAGGAAGACCTGAATTTGGAGAGATATGCCTGGGTCCATTTTAAAACCAGAAAACTACTATATCTTTTTTCTCTTGTCAACCACAGTTCTGCAAATATTCTCTATAATTGTTATTTTTCTTTTCTTTTTGGAAGGAGTCTCCTGGTGAAGGAAGAATCTAAAGAGCTGCCTAAAGTTCCAGGGAATTTTCCTCTAAAACAAAAAACATCAAGATAGCTTTGATTTTATTTATGTTCATTATTTTTCCCCATTAAAATCTGTGTCATCTTCAGAGATCCTGGGTTAATTTTTTTTTTTTTAATTTTCCCTGTGCTGATTGAAGAAAAGTCTCAAACCTTGATGCTGTTTTTGGTTTATTTCATAAGAATTTAAGATGGTGCTTGACAACTTATGCCTCCCGTAAAACCAAAAAATATTTTTTACACTGTGTATATCTTCCAACCGACATTTCACCAAACAAAAAAATTGAGCCACCTTGCATCATACATTTTTGGTTAAATATTTGAGAGCTATTGTTTTGAAAGTCACCCATAATAATAAGAACCAACTAAAAAAATGTCCTACTGAAGGGTCAGGTAAATTTTGGCTGTTTCTACACTTATACCCTATCTCTCTCTCTCTCTTTTAGTTCTTCCAGAAACAAAACAGAGTATCCCTCCTCTGGCAAATCGCTTGCAAAACTCCATGTAAGAAAATGCAGAACTTGAAATCATGAAACATCCCCATCAGTTTCTGAGGATTCCAGGATCAGAACTCAACCAGAATCTTTAGGATTTAGGGCTCAAGAGCCTAGAACATTAACTTCTGAAATGGAATGGTATTGGCTCCAAGGTTAAAAATAGAGGACCACGGCTTTATTGCTTGTGATTATGACATAGTCCCCACGAACATCAGTAAGGCTCAAACGTGCATTGAAGGCAGCTGAAGGGTAAATAAATTAAACTGAAGTGACTCAGAAAGCACATTGGGAGCAGAGATGTACAGCAGTAACAAGGGATTTTGTTCTTGAGAACAGCCCCACTCAGAACTCAAGGGAAAGAGCCTCCTTAGAAAGCTCAAAGAAGGGCGCCTGGGTGGCTCAGTTGGTTAAGCGACTGCCTTTGGCTCAGGTCATGATCCTGGAGTCCCAGGATCGAGTCCCGCATCTGGCTCCCTGCTC